CCATCTTGCAAAATCTCCCCCTCAAAGGCACTCTTTCTCTTCTTTTTCCCTAACACAATCCCCTCACTGAGTTTAAGTATTCTAAAACAAAAGTCAAGAAGAGGTGTTCTCTTTGGGAACTTCTCCTTTGGCTTGGCAATCTCACTTGAGATAAGGAAAATTGGATACTGTCTTGAAATCAGGGAGAGAAAATATACAGAGAGCTCTCATTTTCCTGTAGCAGTAAAAACAAAGCAAATTAATATCCTAATAAGCTATTCTGTAATACTCTCTTCCTTAGTAGATCTTCAGATCCCCCAAAGAAACATTTTCCCATCACTCTGCTTCTCTTAGAAGATGGAATATACATGATCTCTAAGTCTAGGAGTCATCGTTTCAGCCTCGAATGGTGTTCTCCACCACAGTAACTCTCATACCAAAACTGGTGCCGGGGAGAGTAGGTTATGGTCTATGGAAGTTTTGTAAGGGTTAGGTAGGTAGATGTGGCTGGGCACAGCAAATTTCCCATTTATTTTTGAGAACTAATCCTAACTTGGAGTGTTTATTTTATTCTGGGATTTGTTGCGTTCTATTCAAGGGGCTCAGTTTGTGGCAGATCTTTTATGCAACTAGATATTTATTTTTAAATTTTTATTGTGATCTGGGTGAGAGTTTACAGGGAATATTTATTTTCTATATAGCAGTTCATACACATTTTGTCTCATGATATTGACTGCAATTCCCCACAGTGTAACAGCTGTCTTCCCACTTCCTCCCCATGGTTACCTCTTCCTTCTGTCCTTCCCTCGCATGAACTCCTGCCACCCCCCCAAGCTGTCTCCCTGTACAGATACTGCCCTTTTGTTCTCCAAGTAGTGTATCTACCTGATGTAAATTTTCAGCCCATATGCCTGTGTGTTATTGGCTGGAAGCCACAGGAGTACATTCAGTTCCAGACTGGAAGGATGTCTAGGGGCCACAGTCTCAGGGATCTCACCAGGCTCCATCAGACCAGCAAACCTGGACCCCC